TCACAGCAGTTTATAGACTATAATGATTTATTACAACAAAATGTTGTTTAAATGCTGAGCGCTTATTGTTCCTGCCAGCCTAGTGTGTCACACTTGCAAATTCGTCACAATTTATTTATTTGTAGGCTATAACCTTCAAATAATTGAAATAATAGGCTAATAATATAGCCTAAATAGTTCATTTCAACTCCGCTCACATACTCTGTATCCTGCCCAACTTCAATCTTTGGAGAAGGTAAAAGGTAAGAGGTAAGATCATTTGGAGGTCAGATGTTCTCTTTGAGGGAGGTTTGTAGGCCTATAAAATGGCGGAGCAGAGCCCTGTGAAATGCTGTCATGGGATCACAGAGTTCAGCTGGAGTTGTCAGTCATGAAGTGGAATTAAAAGGTGAAGAAGGGGTTAAGTTATATAGTGAAGAAATCCCCTTGTCTGACAATTTGGTGAGAATTAAGAGCAGCAGTGGGGCCAAGCTAATCTTTAAAACAGAACGAACCTTGATAAGAAAGTTATGAGAGGTCATCACAGGCACTCAGCTGTAGACCATGGCCACATTTCAACATCCCCCACTACAGACACACACACATAAAATATATCACGTCATATAACTCCTCTCACCTAAAGTCATTGATTCTGACTCTTTTTAGATTTTTCTTGGAATAACTCTAGTGTTCTCCTGCTCACTACTACCCTGTTCCCGGAAGAGCCAGAGGGGCTTGAAGCACAGGGCAGGCCTGGGAGGTGGAGGCAGGGTATGGGTAGCAGGACAGCCTGGTCTCATAGAGTAGAAGTAACATAGTAAATGTAAATCCGGGACACACAAATTACTATATGATATGTTCGGTATGGTTACATAAGACAGAAGGTTACTTAACGCAGAAACGAAAGTAGGGTGATTGGTGGGCGTATAACCCGAACATCTAGCAACCCAAAGGTTGTGTGTTCGAATCTCATCACGGACAACTTTAGCTAATTAGCAACTTTGCAACTACTTACTATTTTTTAGCTACTTTGTAACTACTTAGCATGTTAGCTAACCCTTCCCCTAACCTTAACCCTTTAACCTAACTCCTAACCTTAACCCAAACCTTAACCAATAACCCTAATCCCTAGCCTAGCTAACGTTTGCCACCTAGCTAATGTTAGCGTTAGCCACTTAGCTAACGTTAGCCACAACAAATTGGAATTCGTAACATATAATAAGTTTAGCAAATTGGTAACATATTGTGCGAACTGCAATTCGTAACATATCATATGAATTGTAATTCGTAACATATCATACGAAATGGATGAGGGACATTCACAAATGAATACATACAATACGAAACTTAACATATCATACTAATAATTGGAGAGCCCAGATTTACATTTACTATGTTACTTCTACCCTTGAGTCCAGGTTGAGCAGGAAGGCCCCTTCGTTTCCTCCTTAGATGGTGGGGGAAGATCTTCCAACATGGGAGAGATAAAGGGACAGGGGACAAGATGGGATGGCGTGGATGTGTGGACAGGGGGAAAGATGGATAGAGGAAGTTATTGACAGACAAGGGGGATGAGGGATATGAGATGATGACTATATAAACACAAACGTAAGCTTGAGTAAAGACTGGTTGTGGACACAAGACAGACTGGTTGACAGAGAGATGGATGGACATACTTACAATTGAATGGATAAAACGAAATGATGTAATGTTCATCCCCAACTACAGAGAGGTACTCTCCGTAGCATCTGCCCATAAGAAGAGGTCTATATGGAATGATTGTTATAAAGTAAGCAGACACAGTTCTTAACAACCCCCACTTTATACACAGACTCTCTCACACGCACATACACACCTGTCTTTCTCCTCTGTCTCTTCCTAGGCCTCCACCACCCTGGCTCCACACTTGAGTGCACACAGGAATGTAAGGGGAATGACACAATCCTTTAAGTGCTGAAACCTGATTGGCCCAGTCTTTTATCTCTTCAACAACAGCCCTAATGGATAGGCATTCAGATAGGGGTTAAAGGTCACGCAGACAGACCCTAGGAACCAGAGCTAGCTCACTATCCATCTCTCTCTCTCACACACACCCACTCACACACAGACACACTCACACACCCACTCACACACAGACACACTCACCCACATGCAGGCACACCGCCTGGGCCTGCCTATGTTGAAAATATCCAATTATAAAACCATTTCAAACTGGGACACTCCAACTCTTTTGTTAGCGAGGGGATTTAACAGCAGGACTGAATGGCAGATTTCTACAGAAACCCCCAATAAACGTTGATTTGATTCGAAGTGTGGGTCTGGAGAGGGCATTTATTGTTTTACATTGGGGGAAGGGTCAGAGGTCAGGTGGCTCGGAGGGGTCATCCTCTCATTGTTTATCTGCAGCACATGAAAGCTTCTGTGACACACTTCCTTTGTAACAGCGGAGCGCAGGGCACAGGAGGGCCATGGGACCTGGGACTGACTCAGCAACAACACAGATAATAGAAGCACCTACATTAGCTTTAATGCTTTGCAAAACCCAACACCCAGAGTAAGATTACAGTCTGTGTGAGTAAGTCAATCAATCAAATGTATTTTACATCAGCAGATGTCACAAAGTGCTATACAGAAACCCTGCTTAAACCCCCAAACAGCAAGCAATGCAGATGTAGAAGCACGGGGGCTAGTAAAAACTCCCTAGAAAGGCAGGAACATAGGAAGAAACCTAGAGAGGAACCAGGCTCTGAGGGGTGGCCAATCCTCTTCTGGCTGTGCCGGGTGGAGATTATAAGAGTACATGGCCATTAAGGCAAGATTGTTCTTCAAGATGACCAGCAGGGTTAAATAATAATCACAGTGGTTGTAGAGGGTGCAACAGGTCAGTACCTCAAGAGTAAATGTCAGTTGGCTTTTCATAGCCACGCATTCAGAGGTCAAGACAGCAGGTGCAGTAGAGAGAGAGAGTCGAAAACAGCAGAAAACAGTCCGTGGTGAGCTCTCTGTGGGCTGCTCTGCTCTGAGATGGGGCTGTGGACGTGCTGTTAACAGGGTAGTTAGTAGCAGGGGCATGGTGAGAGCAGGGACTACTCCAGAGGACTGAGGAGCAGAGGGGAGAACACACAGGAGAGTGTCAGAGAACAGAGCCAAGGACAGGCTGAGAGCGATCAGGGGTACGGGCTGTCCCTCTGAAGGAAGGAGCAGGAGAGAGGAATGTCCGCGAGGGAGCTAAGGGCTCAATTCCCAAACCATAACCCCCCTCCCACTCCCTCACTGTGGAGGTCACAGTATCTGTGGGGAGGAATGTTTGAAATAAGAGCTGCCAAGGAAACGGATCACCTTAAAACAATTACAGGAATATGGTTAATATCCTGAAGCTGGCTGTGCATATGTGTGAGTGTGTGTGCACTTTTGGGATGCTTCACATAGTATGCATGAGAGTGTGTGTGTTTAAATGTGTTTCACTTTGTATTTGTGTGTGTGTGTGTGCATTTGAGAACTTTAGAGGGAGTGTGTGTAATGTGAGTGTTATTACAAGCTCAGTTGCCTGTTAAAAGAGGAGCAGGAGTCCTAGGTGATAAACACTGGTGTGTGTCTTTATTGTGACTGAATACACATTACACACAGAAAGGATGGGGGAATCAAAACATACTTATCTACACAATATTTTAAAAGGCAACTTTATAAAAGATAGGTCCCTGTTTTTATAACAGATCCTCAATGTGAAGATCACATGTCCCACAATCCTTTAGTTAACAAGGAACCACACAATCTCCCCAAACATGTGAAACTGGTGGCATCTGAAGGGACTTTGTATGGCAGATCAAACTTTATTACCCTGGGAGGGCTTTCCACTTTATAGAACAGGCATTTTGATTTCAATTCACATAGAAGATCAAATGGCACTCGAGCAAGATGGAAACACACCACCAATAATATCAACCAATGAGAGGCCAGACTGATGTCTTTCCTGGTCAAAGTCGTCCAATTAGAAAATACTTAAGCAGTGTTCTCTTGGTCTCGGTAACCACGGTCAGGGACCTCGTTCAGTCTGAGTGTGTGGAAGTGAGCTGCCCAGTCCAGCAGCAACAGGAAGTGGAAATGTCCAGCCAGCCATACTCCAAGAGAAACACAGGAAGTACTGCAGCTGCTGAGAGGAGGAGAGGTGTAGACAGACAGAGATATCTCTATATCTGACTAAAAAACCCAACTTCTCTGTTCAATCTATAAAAGTGCTGATCTCAGTCCTGCTCTCCTCCCACACAGCTGACCCAGGAGGGTCACACACAGTCACTGAGGAAGATGAGAGGAAGGCTTGTATGACTACAGTCTGTTCTGGTCTAAATGCCTATATTACCCATAACACCTGAGGAAAGGTGAGGCCATTTTGAAACCAAAGGAAAACGTGAGGCCCATCCGATAAGAGTCCAAACACACATTTTCTAGTCCGTTGAAAGAGCTGTCATCCACATCATCGTATAATGCACATGGATGAATAATCCAAGACAAAACATTTGTGAAAGTGTCACCATGTTTGTGAAAGTGTCTAGTTCAAGTTCTTCATCATGAAATACACCAATAGAAAAGCTTTAGTCCTTTGGTTGGCGTTGGCATTGATCTGTGCTTCCACTAGTATCACCAGTTTGTTCAGGACCACAGGTAAACATTCAAGCAGTGAAGCAGAGGAGGAGTAGTGAGGGTGAACTGGCCAGCGAAGCAGTCTGAGAGTCTCCAGCAGCCTCCTACCAGTCCCCAGCACCAGGCCTGACTGACCGCTCGGTGGTCAATGAGGACAGGTTGAACAGGTTGTAGGGAAGGTCATCTATAATAAGTTCGTATTGAGGCTCTGTCACTACGCTGAGAAGGGGCCGGCTGGTGCCAGGGTGAGGGACTGCGTGGGTGTAGCACCACAGGGTGCTAGCTGGGTCCATGGGTGTGCGATGTTCTGTGTGCTGTGTGCGTGCTGGTGTCTGTGTTCGGTCAGGGTAAGAGGTCAGGGGTCAAGGTGAGTTGTGCCGGGTTTAGAAGCGTATGGTTACAGGGCTCTTGGTCATGGTCAGAGTCTGGATGCTGGACAGGATCTTCCTCTGGTGTCCAGCCAGGGTCACTCCCAGACGCAGCAAGTCCCTGAGGAGAAGGACATACTGTTAGATAAACAGACAGAGACAGATAGGCAGACAGAGAGACTGACGGATAGGCAGACAGACTGACAGACAGATAGGCAGACAGACAGACAGACAGATAGGCAGACAGACAGACAGACAGGCAGACAGACAGATTGGCAGACAGACTGACAGATAGGCAGACAGACAGACTGATAGACAGACAGACAGACAGGCAGACAGACAGACTGACAGACAGACTGACAGATAGGCAGACAGACAGCCAGATAGACAGGCAGACAGAGATACAGAGCTATGGTCGTAGAGAGTGACTCAACTTCAAGACACCCAGAGACAGACAGACAGCTACATTGTTGTAGGTGTGAACTCACTCAGCAGTGATCTGGGCCAGCAGGTCTACAGAGGTGAATCCAGCCTGGAGGAAGCTGTCCTCATAGCGCTCCATTTTGATGGCCCTCAGCCACTCCCCCACGGAGCCACACGCTGAGGGGGCCGGGGGGGCCCGCTGGTCCAGCAGGGGGTGGGACGGCCTGGGGACAGGGGACACACACAGGGACACGTCACACACACACTCTTTGTCACCAGCACACCAGCGGCCTCACAGGCATGTCCACGGAATAGGGGCGGGATCTAAGGCTGCATGAGTGACAGGTAACAACAATGGCTGCTGGAGGGGAGGGGGCGTGGGCCAGGCTGTGAGTGACAGGTCAGTATTTGGGGTGGGAGAGGGGGAGATGATGGGCACAGCTAGAGCCTGACAGGTCACAGCAGGGCAGAGGAGCAGGACAGAGGAGCAGGACAGAGGAGCAGGACAGAGGAGGGACAGTAGGAGGTTCATGTAGACTGACTCTCTGATAGACAGGACTGTATTCTAGGAATGAAGTACTGGAAGGAAGACTGGGGCTCTATTAGGGGACAGGATATACAATACTCCAGGTGGTTAGACAGTCATTTCCCTGTCTTTACCTCATGCTTTGTGTTTAAACCCACACTACCTTCTCTGACTCTCCACGCACCCTCCACACCCACCCCTCTCGCCTATAGATCTGTGCCCACTCACCCTGCACCCTCCTGGGCCATGATCTTGAGTGAGGCAGGGTTGCGGATCAGCTTGTCCAGGGCGCTGACGATGGCGGCAAAGCGAGGGCGGGCCGAGCGCCCCTTCTGCCAGCAATCCAGCATCAGCTGGTGGAGGTGGGTGGGGCAGTCAGGGGGCGGCGGTAGGCGGTAGTCCTGCTCTATGGCGTTGATCACATCCTGGTTGCTCATGTCCCAGTAGGGCCTCTCTCCGAAGGACATGACCTCCCACATGACGATGCCGTAGCTCCAGGCGTCGGAGGCTGAGGTGAACTTCCTGAAGGCGATGGCCTCTGGGGCGGTCCAGCGGATGGGGATCTTACCACCCTGATAAAAGAGAGGAGTCAACAACCACACACCATAACCATATGCAGTCAACAACCACACACCATAACCATATGCAGTCAACAACCACACACCATAACCATATGCAGTCAACAACCACACACCATAACCATATGCAGTCAACAACCACACACCATAACCATATATGGGCTTGGTGTTGAGGAAGAACGGGGTGCAGTAGTCTCACCAGAGAGCTGGTGTAGGTGGGGTCTGAGGAGTTCTCCTGGAGGAAGCGGGACAGGCCGAAGTCAGACACCTTACACACCAGGTTGCTGTTGACCAGGATGTTGCGGGCGGCCAAGTCTCTGTGGACATAGCTCATCTCAGACAGATACTTCATTCCCGACGCGATGCCACGCAGCATGCCCACCAGCTGGATGGGAGTGAACTGACCATCGTTCAACTACAGAGAGGGAAGACGAAAGAGTTAGAGATCTGGGAGAAACAATTAAATATGTGTAAGAGGGGTGGGGTTGAGGGAGAGTCAGAGACCAGAAGTGACATAGTGAAAGAATGGAAGGAGTTATGTGTGTGTGTGTGTGTGTGTGTGTGTGTTTGTGTGTGTGTGTGGAAGGCTCAGAGAGAGCGCTATATACAGTGGGGAGAACAAGTATTTGATACACTGTCGATTTTGCAGGTTTTCCTACTTACAAAGCATGTAGAGGTCTGTAATTATTATCATAGGTACACTTCAACTGTGAGAGACTGAATCTAAAAAAAAAATCCAGAAAATCACATTGTATGATTTTTAAGTAATTAATTTGCATTTTATTGCATGACATAAGTATTTGATACATCAGAAAAGCAGAACTTAATATTTGGTACAGAAACCTTTGTTTGCAATTACAGAGATCATACGTTTCCTGTAGGTCTTGACCAGGTTTGCACACACTGCAGCAGGGATTTTGGCCCACTCCTCCATACAGACCTTCTCCAGATCCTTCAGGTTTCGGGGCTTTCGCTGGGCAATACGGACTTTCAGCTCCCTCCAAAGATTTTCTAGTGGGTTCAGGTCTGGAGACTGGCTAGGCCACTCCAGGACCTTGAGATGCTTCTTACGGAGCCACTCCTTAGTTGCCCTGGCTGTGTGTTTCGGGTTGTTGTCATGCTGGAAGACCCAGCCACGACCCATCTTCAATGCTCTTACTGAGGGAAGGAGGTTGTTGGCCAAGATCTCGCGATACATGGCCCCATCCATCCTCCCCTCAATACGGTGCAGTCGTCCTGTCCCCTTTGCAGAAAAGCATCCCCAAAGAATGATGTTTCCACCTCCATGCTTCACGGTTGGGATGGTGTTCTTGGGGTTGTACTCATCCTTCTTCTTCCTCCAAACACGGCGAGTGGAGTTTAGACCAAAAAGCTATATTTTTGTCTCATCAGACCACATGACCTTCTCCCATTCCTCCTCTGGATCATCCAGATGGTCATTGGCAAACTTCAGACGGGCCTGGACATGCGCTGGCTTGAGCAGGGGGACCTTGCGTGCACTGCAGGATTGTAATCCATGACGGCGTAGTGTGTCACTAATGGTTTTCTTTGAGACTGTGGTCCCAGCTCTCTTCAGGTCATTGACCAGGTCCTGCTGTGTAGTTCTGGGCTGATCCCTCACCTTCCTCATGATCATTGATGCCCCACAAGGTGAGATCTTGCATGGAGCCCCAGACCGAGGGTGACTGACCGTCATCTTGAACTTCTTCCATTTTCTAATAATTGCACCAACAGTTGTTGCCTTCTCACCAAGCTGCTTGCCTATTGTCCTGTAGCCCATCCCAGCCTTGTGCAGGTCTACAATTTTATCCCTGATGTCCTTACACAGCTCTCTGGTCTTGGCCATTGTGGAGAGGTTGGAGTTTGTTTGATTGAGCGTGTGGACAGGTGTCTTTTATACAGGTAACGAGTTCAAACAGGTGCAGTTAGTACAGGTAATGAGTGGAGAACAGGAGGGCTTCTTAAAGAAAAACTAACAGGTCTGTGAGAGCCGGAATTCTTACTGGTTGGTAGGTGATCAAATACTTATGTCATGCAATATAATGCAAATTAATTACTTAAAAATCATACAATGTGATTTTCTGGATTTTTGTTTTAGATTCTGTCTCTCACAGTTGAAGTGTACCTATGATAAAAATTACAGACCTCTACATGCTTTGTAAGTAGGAAAACCTGCAAAATCGGCAGTGTATCAAATACTTGTTCTCCCCACTGTAGATACTGACCCTAAGGAAGGAGTCAAGCGCTCCGTTCTCCATGAACTCAGTGAGGATCATGACGGGACAGGAGGCTGTGATGATGCCCTCCAGGTGGATGATGTTGGGGTGCTGGAACTGGCCCATGATGCTAGCCTCCGACAGGAAGTCCCGCCTCTGTTTGTCCGTGTAGCCGCTCTTCAGAGTCTTGATGGCCACGTAGTTCTCCTTCTTCCCTGGGACCTTCAGCCTGCCCCGACACACCTCCCCAAACTCCCCTAGAGACAAGCCAGGGAAACATTACTCATTACAATACATACATGATAGTACAGCACCCTATCAACCAGTCTGTTAACAGGCAGCAAGAAATAACATCACAGAGAGAAAGCGTGAGACCCACCGGCACCAATGACCTCCTCGATCTTGACAAAGGAAACATCGATCTCCTTGGCAAACTCCCGTACGGCTTCGTTAGGGTCCTCGTAGGTGAAGGGGTCAATATAGACCTTGACTCCTGAGGAGAGGAGGGGGGGGGAATTAAACGACAAACCAGTCATGGTCACATACAGACTAAAAGATGAAAAACATGACTTTGAACAAATCTGTATGCACTATTTGCGTGTGTGCATGTGTGTGTGCATGTGTGTGTGTGTGTGTGTGTGTGTACTCACCTTGGCCCAGGAGGTACTGTCCATGTTTGTCACTCAGCTCTGGGTCCTTCATTCTACTGTGTCTGCTGTGGAAAAGAACAGAGTGTGGGAGAAGAAGGAGAGAGAGGGGGAACGAGAGAAAAGCGTCAAGGTGTCAGAGAAAGAGAGATAGAGGGAGAGACAGGAAGAAAGAGGTTGTTAGTCCGGTGACATAACACTGTCTCTAATCTCTCCCTGGGTGTTTTTATGTGTCACAAACAAGCTGGTATCTCTCTGTCTCAGACACAATACATGACTGGTAGATGAAGTAATGCCTTGACCCTGGGCTCTCCTCTACTGTTCTCCCCCATTCAGGAGCCACTCTGCTCTGTGTGGCTGACTGTGTGTCTGTGTCTGCTGTGCACTGTGCTGGAGGCCTCCATTAGTGAGACTTCCTTTGGCCCCATCCCAGTAGGACTGTACAGCCCTGTAGCTACTGGACCCCTGCCTCTCTCTCTCTCTCTCTCGGCTCATCAGGAAGAGAAGAGAGAAAAAAAAACTTCTACGGGCCCTCACGAAAGAGAGGAGATTCGCAGATAATAGACAAGAGTAAGAGGAGCAGTCCATAGACCTCTCATACGCAGAACATCACTCTAGGAGACTCTCGTCACTCTCCACTCTCTCTACTCTCCTCACTCTCTCCTCTCCCCTCTCTCTCAGCTCACTCTCTCCTTCTCTCCCTCACTCTCTCTATCTCTCTCTCTCTCTCTCTCCTCTATCTCTCTCTCTCTCTTCTTCTCTCCTTCTTCACTCTTCTTCTCTTCGGCCCATCTCTGTCCTCCTCTCAGTCGTGGTCACCTCTCTGTGGAGTGTTCTTGTGTGCATTGCGTATTTCTTCACAGTGCCTCAACACATCTGTCCATCCTCAGAGTTGGCATCCACATCTATGTGTACTGTTGTGTGCATTCTGGTATGATGTTTCATGTGCATCAACTCTGTACTTTTCGGTATGTGATTACCATGTAGTGTCGTAGTGTGTGCTATTGTGTCAAGTCGGAATGTTTCGGTGCACTCAGTGACGGTTGTGTATGGTGTGTGTATGGTGTGTGTATGGTGTGTGTATGGTGTGTGCCCCAAGGTCAGGACTATTGTTCTCCGGTCCTGTGGAGACAGGGTTGGGACGGCTGCATCCTGTCACTGACCGCCTCCCTCCCTCCATCTCCCCCCCCTCTCTTTCTCTCTCTCTCCCTCCCGCTCTCTCTCGCTTTCTTTCTCTCTCTCTCTCTCCCTCCCTCTCTCTCTCTTCCTCTCTCTCTTCCTCACTCTCTGGTTCCCCATGTTCCCATAACCTTTTTTCAGAGGGCATGTGTGGCTGTTTGCTGAAACAATGAGGCCCAGGGAAAGGGTTGTAGTGAGTGGAATAACTTCTAGCCTCCAAAGCACAAAGAAAATGTATTTGGTTCTGTGAGAGTTTTGCTCAAATATGACATACTGTTTGTAGGTAGCAGAGTTATTATCTAAGCTCAATAAGATACGATTGGTAGAGGTTACAAAAATGTCAAAGTTAAGATAAGATCCATATGTTATTTATTTATTTATTCACATTACAGAATTTATGTCCCTGTCTCGCCCTCTCTTTCTCCCCGGCTCTCACCGTATGCATAAGACAGCCACAGTGACAACAGTGATGAGCAGCAGCATCCCCATGGCGATAAGGAAACTGGTCATCAGTAGCTGGTTAGGAGAGTCGTCCCCTGAAAAAAGGATGAAAAGGAGAGAAAAGTAGGGGGGGTGCAGGTACAGGGAAAAATAGAAAAATTAGTAACAAGGAAACGTCAAAAATACACCAAAACAAATGTTGTAACTGATTAACTAATGTATTCTGGCAAATAAACTAGAACAACAGGGTGGAACTAACACACACAAAACTAGAAGAAACCTAGAAGACTTTGTTGGCCTGGATATGTACAGGCCTCTCTGAGAGAGTGAAGCCTGGGCCTTTCTTTACCGTCAGGCAGGGTTCTGAAGGAGGCTGCTGGGCTGAAGCTGCCATAGCCGGCCATGGTGCGAGCCCGGACCTGCACCTCATACTGAGTGGCCCTGCGGAGATCACTCAGCACCACCTGGTTACTGTCACTCTCCCTGTAGCGACACAACTGCTCCTCACCTCGACGCTCCTGCGGGACGGAGAAAGGGATGGAGGGAGAGAGAGACGATGGAGCGAGAGAGGAATGGAGGGAGAGAGGGATGGAGGGAGAGATAGACGATGGATGGAGAGAGGGATGGAGGGAGAGAGGGATGGAGGGAGAACAAAAGCAGATAAGAACAACGGGTTGAGCCAGTGGGAGAGAGGTAAGAGTGATGGACACAGATAGAACAGTCAACTCCCTAAGACCTGAGGGGAGTCAGTGCTACAGTATTATTTAACAATGGGAGGAGAGAGAGAGATAGTGTGTCTGGTCATCCTTACCGTCTCACAGTAGCGTAGCTGGTATTGCAGGATGGTGTAGTGGGGCTGGGCTGGAACTGACCAGTGGAGAGTCAGACTGCTCTCTGTAGAGATACTCTTCCTGATCACAGACACCAGCACTGGAACTGACAAACACATTTAAACAACTTTAAAAGATAGAACAACACTCAACTTCCTCTTCTAACCATACAACACCAACCACAAACCCAAACATCCCTCTCTCACCCTCGTGACTGGTGGTGATGTTAACTCTATCGCTGGGTGCCCCTTTGCCATTGGACGGGGAGACCCCATTGAGGGCCTGGATAGAGAAGGTGTATGTGGTGTGAGGCATGAGGCCCCAGACCACCACCCTGCGGCCCAGCAGGCCTCGCTGAGAGGGTCTGTAGCTGACATTGTCCCCGCAGGGGGAGCACGGACCCCTAGGGGTCCCACACAGAGAACACTCCACAGAGTAGCTCAGGTCAGTCCTGCCGCCGCTGTCCATGGGCTCGCTCCACTCTAGTGTCACCGTGGTGTCGTTGATCTGGGTCACGATGCTGCGTGGGGCAGAGGGGGGTCCTGGAGGACAGGGGGGGAGAGGAAAGGGTCACACACCACCTCATTAGGCAATCAGCAATCATAAATACTTCATCAGCCAAAAGTACTAAGACATTTTCCATTTGAAGGCACTTTACTGGCCCGATGTGCCATATTACTGTTCCTCTGTTTCAGATTTGCATTGTCAATTAAATCACTTGCATTTTATTTGCTATTTGTTACGCTCCAGACACATTTCAGCTAGCGTCTGGAGGAGCCGCCGGGGAAGAGCGGCTGAGGGGCACAGCAGGAAACAACATTGTGATGCAGGATTGAATTGGTGCTCCAATTACATGCGTCTATATTTTGATAATGATCAGCAGCTGAAGATTGTAGTAGGGGGATTGTGATTTCTGCCACAATTGCAACGCCAACCAGCCAGTATGAATTAGTTCCTGCTCCTGCCAATGAGGCTGTGTGGCACAATGCTCTCTGGGAGGTTGGGGTGGCCACAAGTAGGAGACAGTTGTGTACCATCACATGGACCTACTTTAATTTAGGTTGAATTTACGTCAAATTAAAAAAGTCAACATTTAGGGGGGGGGCGTGTTGGGGGGGGCTGTGATTAGCAAAAATATCAGGAGTGATTAAAATAATTCAACTGTCTGTCTTAATTAGAGACAGCTTTAATTAAACCTGTGGTGTAATAGGTTAGCAGAGTCTACACAGGGAATTATTTTGGTCCTCGACAGGGTTTCAGTCTTCTGCCAATTGCTGTTGGTTCCGAAGTCTTTTCATGGCCATTCTGAGTGAGTGTGCCCAATTAAAAATGCCTCCTCTTTCACACGTGGCTGAATTGAAATTCCTGAATCCACATGGAGGTGTCACTCAGGGCCATCAATGCTTCCCTTACTGGGAGTGACCACCAGGCTCTGCCCCGCCCCCTCTACACCGCCACAAAGGAGCCGCATCTCAATACTCTCAGCCCTGACCTAAGAGCAGGTGAGAGCAACACCAGAGGAAAAGAGAAGCTGAAGAGAAGCAAGGGACAACAAAGGAGGTAGGGGAACAAGAGAAACATGTTGAAAGTGAAAGTAGCGCAGAGACACAGAGAGAGAGAGAGAGAGAGAGAGAGAGAGAGAGAGAGAGAGAGAGAGAGAGACAGAGAGAGAAAGAGAGAGAGAGAAAGAGAGAGAGAGAAAGAGAAAGAGAGAGAGAGGCATATACCAGATGCTCAGCAGGCTCTGCTCACACTTACTGGTCTGAGGCCAAACCACACGACTAACAACATTGGACACTTTATGGAACACAAAGCCTTCACTATCTCATCCTGGAATATCCAAGGCCTGAGGTCATCTGCCTTTGGCCTAAAGAGCAGGAACCTAGACTTCACCAAAGCAATCAGAAATACAGACATTGTCATCCTACAAGAAACATGGTATAGAGGAGATGGACCCACTGGTTGCCCTCTAGGTTACAGAGAGCTGGTAGTTCCATCCACCAAACTACCAGGTGTGAAACAGGGAAGGGTCTCAGGGTGTATGCTAATTTGGTATAGAGCAGACCTAAATTAATCAAAACAGGAACATTTTACATTTGGCTAGAAATTCAAAAGGAAGTGATCTCACAGAGAAAAATGTCTTCCTGTTGTGCTACCTATATCCCCCCACTAGAATCCCCATACTTTAATGACGACAGCTTCTCCATCCTGGAGGGGGAAATCAATCATTTCCATGCCCAGGGACATGCACTAGTCTGTGGCGACCTAAATGCCAGAACTGGACAAGAACCTGACACCTCAGCGCACAGGGGGACAAACACCTACCTGGAGGTGACAGCATTCCCTCCCCCATATGCCCCCGTAGGCACAACTACGACAACATAACCAACAAAAACGGGTCACAACTCCTGCAGCTCTGTCGCACGTTGTGTATGTACATAGTAAATGGTAGGCTTTGAGAGGACTCCTACGGTAGGTATACATATAGCTAATCTCTTGGCAGTAGTACTGTAGACTACTTTATCACCGACCTCAACCCAGAGTCTCTCAGAGCGTTCACAGTCAGCCCACTGACACCCCTATCAGATCACAGCAAAATCACAGTCTACTTGAACAGAGCAATACCCAATCATGAGGCATCAAAGCCAAAGGAACTGAATAATATTAAGAAATGCTATAGACGGAAGGAAAGTATTGTGGAAACCTACCAAAAAAACCATTAGGCAACAACAAATTCAATCCCTTTTAGACAACTTCCTGGACAAAACGTTTCACTGTAATAGTGAAGGTGTAAACTTGGCAGTAGAAAACCTAAACTGTATATTTAGCCTCTCGGCTTCCCTATCAAATCAAAAAAATTCTAACAGAAAACCGAACAAAATTAACAACAATGACAAATGGTTTGATGAAGAATGCAAAGTGAATCAGTAAAACAAAACAGAAATACACTATGGAAAAAGAAGGAACAGCACGTCAGAAATCAGCTCAATGTAATTGAAGAATCCATAGACTGTAACCACTTCTGGGAAAATCGGAAAACACTAAACAAACAACAACACGAAGAGTTATCTATCCAAAACGGAGTTGGGTAAACCACTTCTCCAATCTTTTTGGCCCTATAACAAAGAACAAACAACAAAAACCTATACATGATCAAATACAAATCTTAGAATCAACTATTAAAGACTACCAGAACCCATGGAATTCTCCAATTACATTGAATGAACTACAGGACAAAATACAAACCTTCCAACCCAAAAAGGCCAGTGGTGTTGATGGTATCCTCAATGAGATGATAAAATATACAGACCACAAATTCCAATTGGCTATACTTAAACTCTTTAACATCATCCTTAACTCTGGCATCTTCCCCAATATTTGGAACCAAGGACTGATCACCCCAATCCACAAAAGTGGAGACAAATTTGACCCCAATAACTACGTGGGATATGCGTCAACAGCAACCTTGGGAAAATCCTCTGCATTATCATTAACAGCCGACTCGTACATTTCCTCAGTGAAAACAATGTACTGAGCAAATGTCAAATTAGCTTTTTACCAAATTACCGTACGACAGACCACATATTCACCCTGCACACCCTAATTGACCAACAAACCAAAACAAAGGCAAAGTCTTCTCATGCTTTGTTGATTTTAAAAACCTTTTGACTCAATTTGGCATGAGGGTCTGCTATACAAATTGATGGAAAGTGGTGTTGGGGGAAAAACATACGACATTATAAAATGTACACAAACAACAAGTGTGCGGTAAAAATTGGCAAAAAACACACACATTTCTTTCCACATGGCCGTGGGGTGCGACAGGGAAGCAGCCTAAGTCCCACCCCCTTCAATATTTAAACTCAGCAAAAAAAGAAAAGTCATTTTTTCAGGACCCTGTCTTTCAAAGATAATTTGTAAAAATCCAAATAACTTCACAGATCTTCATTGTAAAGGGTTTAAACACTGTTTCCCATGCTTGTTCAATTAACTATAAACAATTAATGAACATGAACCTGTGGAACGGTCGTTAAGACACTAACAGCTTACAGACGGTAGGCAATTTAGGTCACAGTTATGAAAACTTAGGACACTAAAGATGCCTTTCTACTGACTCTGAAAAACACCTAAAGAAAGACGCCCAGGGTCCCTGCTCATCTGCGTGAATGGGCCTTAGGCATGCTGCAAGGAGGCATGAGGACTGCAGATGTGACCAGGGCAATAAATTGCAATGTCTGTACTGTGAGACGCCTAAGACAGCGCTACAGGGAGAAAGGACGGACAACTGATCGTCCTCGCAGTGGCAGACCACGTGTAACAACACCTGCACAGGATCGGTACATTCGAACATCACACATGCGGGAAGGTACAGGATGGCAACAACAACTGCCCAAGTTACACCAGGAATGCACACTCCCTCCATCAGTGCTCAGACTGTCCGCAATAGGCTGGACTGAGGGCTTGTAGGCCTGTTGTAAGGCAGGTCCTCACCAGACATCACCGGCAACAACGTCGCCTAAGGGCATAAACCCACCATCGCTGGACCAGACAGGACTGGCAAAAAAGTGCTCTTCACTGACGAGTCGCGGTTTTGTCTCACCAGGGGTGATAATTGGATTTGCGTTTATCGTCGAAGGAATGAGCGTTACACCGAGGCCTGTACTCTGGAGCGGGATCGATTTGGAAGTGGAGGGTCCCACATGGTCTGGGGCGGTGTGTCACATCATCATCGGACTGAGCTTGTTGTCATTGCAGGCAATCTCAACGCTGTGCGTTACAGGGAAGACATCCTCCTCCCTCATGTTGTACCCTTCCTGCAGGCTCATCCTGATATGACCCTCCAGCATGACATTGCCACCAGCCATACTGATCGTTCTGTGCATGATTTCCTGCAAGACAGGAATGTCAGTGTTCTGCCATGGCCAGGGAAGAGCCCGGATCTCAATCCCATTGAGCAAGTCTGGGACCTGTTGGATCGGAGCGTGAGGGCTAGGGCCATTCCCCCCAGAAATGTCTGGGAACTTGCAGGTGCCTTGGTGGAAGAGTGGGGTAACATCTCACAGCAATAACTGGCAAATCTGGTGCATTCCATGAGGAGATGCACTGCAGTACTTAATGCAGCTGGTGCCCACACCAGATACTGACTGTTACTTTTGATTTTGACCCCCCCTTTGTTCAGGGACACATTATTCAATTTCTGTTAGTCACATGCCTGTGGAACTTGTTCAGTTTATGTCTCAGTTGTTGAATCTTGTTATGTTCATACAAATATTTACACATGTTAAGTTTGCTGAAAATAAACGCAGTTTGCTGAGTTTATATCAACAAATTGGCGAGGGCACTAGAACAGTCACCGGCCTCCTGCAGTGGATGTCTACCACAGCATTCTGCAGCGATACGCCATCCCATCTGGTTTGGGCTTAGTGGGACTATCATTTGTTTTTTAACAGGACAATGACCCAACACACCTCCAGGCTGTGTAAGGGCTATTTTACCAAGAAGGAGAGTGATGGAGTGCTGCATCAGATGACCTGGCCTCCACAATCACCCAACCTCAACCCAATTGAGATGGTTTGGGATGAGTCGGACCACAGAGTGAAGGAAAAGCAGCCAACAAGTGCTCAGCATATGTGGGAACTCCTTCAAGACTGTTGGTAAAGCATTCCAGGTGAAGCTGGTTGAATGCCAAGAGTGTGCAAAGCTGTCATCAAGGCAAAGGGTGGCTATTTGAAGAATCTCAAATATAAAATATATTTTGATTTGTTTAACACTTTTTTGGTTACTACATGATTCCATATGTGTTATTTCATAGTTTTGATGTCTTCACTATTATTCTACAATGTAAAAAATAGTAAGAAATAAAGAAAACACCTTGAATGAGTAGGTGTGTCCAAACTTTTGACTGGTAGTGTACTGCACTAGCTTTGGCAATGTTAACATATGTTTCCCATGCCAATAAAGCCCTTAATTTGAAATTGAATTGAGAGAGAGAGAGAGAGAGAGAGAGAGAGAGAGAAAGAGAGAGAGAGAGAGAGAGAGAGAGAGAGAGAGAGAGAGAAAGAAAGAGAGAGAGAAAGAGAGTATCAGGTGAAAACAAATAGAGGTTAGAGTATGTATGTAATAATGTTTGTACTCACTGGTACATGGGGTATCTGGGGTGTCAGAGTTGGCGCGGAGGTATCCTGGACGACACTGACACACAGGTGAGCCTGTCACCACAGCATGGCTGAACCCTGGACAGGCCTGGCACTGCCCCCCCGAGCCAGACCTAAACTGACCCACAGAACAGGCTGTATGGAGGGAGGGAGAAGGAAAGTTAGCATGGCCCTGAACATCACCACAAACCGCAGCATCAGAAACCATCACTTCAAGCAGCACAGTGTCCCATCATAGCGCGTCAGGTCGGGAGACAAAAAGCATCCCAAAAAAGACAAACAGTACAGGAATGCTCTTTAATAACTGCCAAGATAAATAAACACAATGAAATGGATGTGAATGTGCTCTCCTCTCTTCGCTCACATCCCTCGTTCACACGGACACCCATATTCATTCAGTGTAAACAGCCTATAAACCGAGCATGCTCCCTGACACACTAGGCTCATTCAGCCAGGGGGATCCGCACAGCAAGTGTGTACGAGTGTGTTATTGCAATATCTGCTCTGTTCACTTTTTGTTTGAATAAAAGTCTACTCAAATAGATCTAATACATAACTGTATTCATTTGGCAAGTGTACTCATTTGTGGATATTGAAGGTCTAATTCTAGCCTGTGAAGTCCGGAGTAATATTAGACTCCTGACCAAGCAAACTGGGAACATTCCCAGAACATTAGGTAAGATTCCCATTAAGTTCTAGTTAGGGGTTTATCTAATATTAGGAGGATAACATCCCAAAAACATTGAAATAATGTTTTTGATAACAAAATATTTTTTGCAAAAAATTATTTAAATGAAATATCCTTGGACTGTTCTCCTAACATTCACTAAAATGTTGTGCATAACATCTGTAACAACCACCACAGAACATTCCCCAAAAGTTCTCATTAGGTTTCCAGGTAAATTAATAACACAATGTACCAGTAATGTTTCCGAGCAAACCAAAATTTGATATGTGAAATTTCCCAGAACATTAGTTAGGTTGCGGCAAATGTTCTCATAACACAGAAACTGTCCAGTCATACGGATTATATAATGTTTGTATAAAACATTCCACTGATGTTGCAAGAAGTTCCTAGAACATATTTTGTCTGTTCTTTAAAGGTTCCCAGAATGTTTCATTAGGTTTTGGGAACAGTCTGGAGGGAACATTGTTGGGACATCACAAAAGATAAGTTCCCAAAACACAAAAAAACTATTCTACAATGTTTATTTTAGGGTGCAAAAAACATTCACCTGATGTAACAAGAACGTTCCCAGAACACAGTTTGTCTGTTCTTTAAAGGTTCCCAGAATGTTTCATTAGGTTGTAGGAACAGTCTGGTGGGAACATTGTTTTAGTTGTTATCTACGAATTGTATTTCCCCATGAGGGACAATAAAGTTGGATTTTATTGTACTTTATCGAATAACATGGTAACGCTTATCATCAGTAGTGAGGTAGGGCTACAGTTTTGGTTGTTATTCTACTTGTACAGCGTCTGTGTTTAATGGGTTGTTGTAGGGTTAAAACAAAGCCAGGTTGCCTAACAGTGGAGGACTCTACGACTCACAGGAGCCAAGTTATCATTAACCAAATAGAGAGGCTAAACAGTTAAGGTGTTAACTCTGCCAGGCAGGAAGCTACATGTCGGCAGAAAAAAGCCCTGCGTCAGCCTAATCACTGAATAAGATGACATCATTACAATTCAAGTGGCCCTGGCCTTCCTTTCCCAGACAGTATAAATATACTTTCTCTTTGTTATCCGTGTACAGGGAATAACTTTCACCCTCTCTCTTTCTCCCTACCTCTCTCTCTCTCTCTCTCTCTACCTGTCTCTCTCTCTTTCCCTCTCTCCCTATTGTGTCTGAGCTGGTCCTTTGTATAAGAAGAGCACATGTACCTGAGCAGTGCAGGGTTAAAAAAATGTGCAAACAGCTACAGAGTACAACACAAAAGTATCTCTAAAGAATCACAAAAGAATAATAAAAGAAACCTTACCTCGATATTGCATAGAGTCTACAATGTATCTTAATAAAAGGCATTGACAGAGAGTGGAGCTGCTCTTAGGGTCATACTGATAGATGTAGGATCTTAAATTGAGCCAGTTTGCTACAGCAGGAAAATAATCCTGCAGCAACAGGAATTTTGAATTTTTCATTAGGGCAAATCAAGTCTGAAATATCAAAGTGAAAATTACAAACTTTAAGAGCCTTTCTAAAACTAAAATACACTACAAGTTTGCAGGAAAATTTTCAGCAACAAAAGAGTGATCAAATTAAGATCCTACATCTGTAGTTTCCCCTAACAGACCTAACCTCTGACCAGAGCACAGGGAGCAACACAGCCACCCAGAGACAGAGACATCAGAGTGCTGTTCATAAATACCCTCTAACTGGCTGGCTGCTGGTGGGATGCTGCAGGGGGAAGAAGTTTATAGCTAACAGATAGGCTCGAGCCGGGCCACTTAAAGAGCTTTATGGCCTATCTCCCCCCCGCTGATGGCACACTCTCAATACATCAACACACACGCTGCCTTTTTCCACACGCTTCCCTCTTCTCTGGTGGAGAGAGATGACAAACTTGGTACATTAAAACAAGAAGACAGCAATAGAAGTTAGCTAAAACACTGTCTGCTGAATTATATGCTTGGCTGTGTGTTTATGCTGATGTGCTAGTGAGGCAGCAACGTGTGAGATATAGAGAGAGCGAGAGAGGAGGGGAGAGAGAGGAGAGAGAGAGAGTGTGTTACCTTTCTCCTTAGAGTAGTGTGTGGAATGTGACTAGGGTTGCAAAATTCCGGGAACTTTCAATAAATCCCCTGGTTTTCCAGAAATGCTGGTTGGAGGATTCCGGATTTCCTGCTTATTCCTTCCTCAATCCGGGAATCTTCCAACCGGGATTTCGGAAAAAACAGGGACATTTATTGAAAAGTTCACGGAATTTTGCAACCTTAAATGTGACCCTATTGTGACCCTCCCTTTCCATTTCTCCAGGGGGGAGTGGGAGACAGGTGGAGGCCCATTTCACAATAGACACACATTGAAAGAGTGAAATAAGAGCACAGTAATTAGCTAGACAGAGGCAACCCACCGCCTGTGGCATTTTGTGTGTGATGGTGTGGATATGAGGAAGAGGAATGGTCTGCACTGTGTGTGTGCGCTTGTGTGTGCTTGTGTTAGCATGGCAGAGATTTATTGCCTTATCGTGCTCTTATCCTACATTTCAGTCCTCTGCTGTGGTGTGCCTGTAGTGACCTGCTGAGAGTGACCTGTCAGAGCAGCAACACACTGCATCTAACCACTGAAATGGAGGAGGATAAGATAGAGCAAGAGGAAATGAGTAAAACATTTTATCTGCATTTCTGTCCATCTGTCTCTCGCCACCTGTGTGTGTGTGTGGCTGTACATGGATAATTCATCTCATTATGGGAGATGTAGAGCCCCAGAGAGAAAACCCCCCTGCTTCTCTCTCTGTTGTCAGGTTGGCTTTGATGTACCGGTAATGGGTAGATTCTTTACCTTCACCCTCCCTCCTCTCTTCTCCTCCCTCCCTCCTCTCTTCTCCTCCCTCCCTCCCTCCTCTCTTCTCCTTCCTCCTCTTTTCTCCTCCCTCCATTAATGGCTGTGTAACTGGGTATGACAGACAGTCCTGACATGTCCTAAACGCCACCCTCAGCCGCCCAGCCCTGTGACACCGCCCTCACCTCTGACCTCTGCCCTTCTCCCCCTGACCTCCCTCAGTCCCCTCAGTATCCCAGGCCCTGCCCCATCACGCTCCCTGGTAATACTGCTTCTGTAAGCCTCTTCTCTTCTGTCCCCCGCCCGCCCTCCAACCCCACCCGCCACCTCTCCATTGTTTCATTGTTTAGGCCTCAGCTCTCTCTGTGTGAGTGAGAAAGAGAGAGCGTGTGTCCGCTCACCAACCAAGAATTCACAAAATGGGACAAACACCAAATTGAGACCGCATGCAGAATTCTGCAAAAAAAATACCCTTAGTGTCCAACGGAAAGAAAACACAAAATAATGCATGCAGAGCAGAATTAGGCTGATACCCACTAATTATCAAAATCCAGAAAAGAGACGTTAAATTCTATAACCACTTAAAAGGAAGCAACTCCCAAACCTTCCATAACAAAGCCATCACCTACAGAGAGAAGAGTCCCCTAAGCACGCTGGTCCTGGGGCTCTTCATGAACACAAACAGACCCCACAGAGCCCCAGGACAACAACACAATTAGACCCAATCAAATCAAAAAGAGAATTACTTGACACATTGGAAATAATTAACAAAAAAACAGAGCAAACTAGAATGCTATTTGGCCCTAAACAGAGAGTACACAGTGGCAGAATACCTGACCACTGTGACTGACCCAAACTTAAGGAAAGCTTTGACTGTGTACAGACTCAGTGAGCATAGCCTTGCTATTGAGAAAGGCTGCCGTATGCAGACCTGGCTCTCAAGAGAAGACAGGCTATGTGCACACTGCCCACAAAATGAGGTGGAAACTGAGCTGCACTTCCTAACCTCCTGCCAAATGTATGACCATATTAAAGACACATATTTCCCTCAGATTACACAGATCCACAAATAATTTGAAAACAAACCCAATTTTGATAAACTCCCTTTTCTACTGGATGAAATACCACAGTGTGCCATCACAGCAGCAATATATGTGACCTGCTTCCACAAGAAAAGGGCAACCAGTGAAGAACAAACACCATTGTAAATACAACCCATATTTATGTTTATTATTTTCTCATTTGTACTTTAACTATTTGCACATTGTTACAACACTGTATATATACATAATATGACATTTGAAATGTCTTTATTCTTTTGGAACTTCTGAGTGTAATGTTAACTGTTAATATTTATTGTTTATTTCACTTTTGTTTACTATCTACTTCACTTGCTTTGGCAATGGTAACATGTTTGCCATGCCAATAAAGCCCTTAAATTGACATTGAAATTGAATTGAGTGTGTGTGAAAGGACAGAGAGAATAGCTTCCCACCTAAACAGATGAGACAGCATACCATACTCTCTTGTCTTCCAACCGCCCCCCTCCTTACCTGAGCAGCGGGTGTGTCCGTCGGCGGGTTCGTACCCGGGCAGACAGCCACAGGAAGTAGTGGGCTGGCCCACCCATTGGCCATCCTCTCCACAAAATAGTTTGGGTGGGCGTGGCCGGGGCCCCTGCTGGGCGGCGTTGTCCACACACACCCCCTGGGCCTCCTGTACGAGGGTGCGGGGCACGGTCTCAGGGAAGGAGGACAGGGAGCTGGCCAGGGCGGGACACTTCTTAAAGAACACCCTGACAGACAGCAGGGCCATGCAGGCTCCCTGGGCCTGGAAGGCCAGGTAGAAACCCCTCTTAGACAGAGGCCCCAGCCGCAGGGTCTTCACATTGAACTTACGCTCCCCGCCCTTCCTCAGCAGGAAGTCTGCAGCCACTGTGTCCACCTACAGGATGACAGGAGGGAGAGGCAGACGGTCAACACAAACACAGGAAGTAATATCTCTACATGGAATCCTACATCCCAACAGTCTATTTGAAGAGCTCACATTCCAGTGGGTCCGTGTGTGTTCAGTACCTGTGTACCTTGGTGTAGGGGTTTTCCATCCAGGGCAGCTGTGTATGTCAGTATGTGTACAGCTGTTGACCGTGGTGTAGGGGTTCTCTCCATCGAGGAGGGTTTTGTTGTTGACTGTTGATGTGTGTGTGTATGTTAGTGTGTGTGTGTGTATACAAAATAAAATAAAATACAAATGTTATTTGTCACATGTGCCGAATACCGTGAAATTATTACTTACAAGCCCTTAACCAACAATGCAGTTCAATTAATAGAGTTAAGAAAATATTCACTAAATAAACTAAAGTAAAAAATAAATAAAAAGTAACACAATAAAATAACAATAACGAGGGGGTACCGGTACAGAGTCAATGTGCGGGGGTACAGGTTAGTCGAGGTCATTTGTACATGTAGGTAGGGGTAAAGTGACTATGCATAGATAATAAACAGCGAGTAGCAGCAGTGTAAGCAGGAGGGGGGGGGGGCAATGTAAATAGTCCGGGTGGCCATTTGATTAATTGTTCAGCAGTCTTACGGCTTGGGGGTAAAAGATGTTAAGGAGCCTTTTGGACCGAGACTTGGCGCTCCGATACCGCTTGCCGTGCGGTAGCAGAGAGAAGAGTCTATGACTAGGGTGGCTGGAGTCTTTGACAATTTTTTGGGCCTTCCTCTGACACCGCCTAGTATATATGTCCTGGATGTCAGGAAGCTTGGCCCCAATGATGTACTGGGCTGTACGCACTACCCTCTGAAGATCTGGGGACCCATGCCAAATCTTTTCAGTGTCCTGAGGGGGAAAAGGTGTTGTCGTGCCCTCTTCACAACTTTCTTGGTGTGTTTGGACCATGATAGTTTGTTGGTGATGTGTTGTTGCCGACCCTTACCACCTGGGGGCGGCCCGTCAGGAAGTCCAGGATCCAGTTGCAGAGGGAGGTGTTTGGTCCCAGGGTCCATAGCTTAGTGATGAGCTTTGTGGGCACTATGGTGTTGAACGCTGAGCTGTAGTCAATGAACAACATTCTCACATAGGTGTTCCTTTTGTCCAGGTGGGAAAGAGCGATTGAGATTGCATAATCTGTGGATCTGTTGGGGCGGTATATGAATTGGAGTGGGTCTAGTGTTTCCGGGATGATGGTGTTGATATGAGCCATGACCAGCCTTTCAAAGTACTTCATGGCTACTGACGTGAGTGCTACGGGGCGGTAGTCATTTAGGCAGGTTACCTTCGCTTTCTTGGGCACAGGGACTATGGTGGTCTGCTTGAAACATGTAGGTATTACAGACTCGGTCAGGGAGAGGTTGAAAATGTCAGTGAAGACACTTGCCAGTTGGTCAGCGCATGCTCTGAGTACACGTTATGGTAATCCGTCTGGCCCCGTGGCCTTGTGAATGTTGACCTGTTTAAAGGTCTTGCTCACATCGGCTATGGAGAGCGTGATCACACAGTCGTCCGAAGCTATCATAAAAGGCATTTAGCCCGTCTGGTAGGCTCGCGTCAATGGGCAGCTCGCGGCTGGGTTTCCCTTTGTAGTCTGTAATAGTTTGTAAGCCCTGCCACATCCGACGAGCGTCAGAGCCGGTGAAGTAGGATTCAATCTTAGTCCTGTATTGACGCTTTGCCTGTTTGATGGTTCGTCTGAGGGCATTGCGGGATTACTTATAAGGGTCCGGATTAGTGTCCCACACTGTCACAGTACTCACTGTTCTGATATCCAGAAGCTCTTTTCGGTCATAAGAGACAGTAGCAGAAACATTATGTACAAATAAGTTACAAACAATGCAAAAAAAACACACAAAATAGCACAGTTGGTTAGGAGCCCATTCCCTCCGGCGCCATTGTTACTATAGCTGTGTACCTTAGTATAGGGATTCTCCATCCAGGATGGGTGTGTAGGTGTAGCCTCGTCAGTGTCGGCCTGGTAGTAGAAGAGGTTGAAGGTCTCTTTGCAACTGCGGTGGTGTGTGACTCTGGAGGAACACTCGATCACGGTGAAGCGCAGCTCCACGTACACCTGGGAAGCTCCCCGACGCTGGATCAGCCCGCTGCGCAGCCAATGGCTGGAGGCGCCGTCCATCTGGCAGATCTGATAGGTCCTCACACTGTTGTTCTCCTCGTCCAGACCACTCACCTCCTCCCACTGAGAAGAGATGGTTAGACAGTAATACCATCACTGAAACATCATCATATAGTCATTCTATCCTCCTGATTCCTGCTTACAAGCAAAAACTACAGCAGGAAGCACCAGTGACTCGGTCAATAAAGAAGTGGTCAGATAACGCAGATGCTAAGCTACAGGACTGTTTTGCTAGCACAGACTGGAATATGTTCCGGGATTCTTCCGATGGCATTGAGGAGTACACCACATCAGTCACTGGCTTCATCAAGTGCCTCAATGACGTCCCCCCCCCCCCCCCCCCCCCCGTATGTACATACCCCAACCAGAAGCCATGGATTACAGGCAACATCCGCACTGAGCGGGACTCTAACCCGGACGCTTATAAGAAATCCCGCTATGCCCTCCGACGAACCATCAAACAGGCAACGCGTCAATACAGGACTAAGATTGAATCGTACTACACCGGCGCCGACGCTTGTCGGATGTGGCAGCAAACTATTACAGACTACAAAGGGGAGCACAGCTGCGAGCTGCCCAGTGACACAATCCTACCAGACGAGGTAAATCACTTCTATGCTCGCTTCGAGGCAAGCAACACTGAAGCATGTATGAGAGCATCAGCTGTTCCGGATGACTGTGTGATCACGCTCTCCATAGCCGATGTGAGTAAGACCGTTAAACCGGTCAACATTCACAAGGCCGCAGAGCCAGACGGATTACCAGGATGTGTACACAGAGCATGCGCTGACCAACTGGCAAGTGTCTTCACTAACATATTCAACCTGTCCCTGACTGAGTCTGTAATACCAATGTTTCAAGCAGACCACCATAGTCCCTGTGCCCAAGAACACTAAGGTAAACTGCCTAAATGACTACAGACTAGGGGTGTAACGATCCATCTACTACATCGATGTATCGATGTATATTCCTATGATCCAACTACATCGATCTGTGCTCGGCAAGTTGGCCTTTTGGACAACATATATCGATCTAACATCGTTTTAAAATGTAATAAATCGATTGTATCGATACTAGGAAATAACCCATTGGATTTAAGCACGTCAGACTTTATATGGATGTTTTTTCTTAGCACTTTTAATGATAAAGGCTTTAAACATTACTCGATTCAGTCTGCCTATCCGTGACGTCATCGCGCCAGCAGCAGCGCAAAGGCGCCAAGACAACAAAACATAGCATGGCGGACGACACAGGAGAAGCCGACGAGCGAGAAATTATCAAGCCACCATTGCGGTCCTTACAAGAAACAGGAATCTAGGAAACTTCACCTGCACTGTCCAGTTTCCAGGTATTTATTTCAGTCACACTGGTTGAATTTTTCGCTAAAAGGTTACTGAATCGATTTCAAATCACTGAATCGTTTCGGATCGTATCGTTCTAAATGAACCAATATCGTCCTTGAATCATATCGACAACCACGAATCGTGATACAAATCGAATCGTTGTTAAAACGAATCGTTACACCCCTACTACAGACCCATAGCACTCACGTCTGTAGCCATGAAATGCTTTGAAAGGCTTGTCATGGCTCACATCAACACCATTATCCCAGAAACCCTAGACCCACTCCAATTTGCATACCGCCCCAACAGATCCACAGATGATGCCATCTCTAATGCACTCCATGGGTTCTCAGATCCTCAAAAAGTTATACAGCTGCACCATTGAGAGCATTCTAACTGGTTGCATCACTGCCTGGTATGGCAACTGCTCGGCCTCTGACCGCAAGGCACTACAGAGGGTAGTGCGTACGGCCCAGTACATCACTGGGGCCAAGCTTCCTGCCATCCAGGACCTCTATACCAGGCTGTGTCAGAGGAAGGCGCTAAAAATTGTCAAAGACTCCAGCCACCCTAGTCATAGACTGTTCTCTCTGCTACCGCACGGCAAGCAGTACCGGAGCGCCAAGTGTAGGTCCAAAAGGCTTCTTAACAGCTTCTACCCTCAAGCCATAAGACTACCCTCAAGCTAATCAAATGGCTACCCAGACCATTGTGGACAGAGGTGTCGAGGAGAGGACAGACTTTTCGCCAATTGAGAATCTCCCAGTGAGAAAATAGAAGAGAATGAGAGGATACATTTGGGGGTCAGTATACACACCTGAGGGTTGTCATGGGAGTAGATGGTCCATCTCAGATCTGACGTCTCTGTCTTAGTGTTCATCAGGACCTCTGTGAAGACAGACGCGGAACAACATGTTATTACACATATGGTAAAGAAGGACACACACACTTCAACGGTAGACCCAGAGACATTTTAATACTGTCACAGTTCTCCCCGTGTTCAGTTGGTTGAGGCAGTAGAACTGTGTCATGTATAAATCAACTAGCTCTACGCACTGCTTCAATGTAACGGGGGGGGGGGGGGGGGGGGGGGGGGTACGGTCACTACTGAGAGGGACATTAAACAGTGAGAAACAGAGTACTGTGCCAAATAGACCCTGCTTCTTTCCCCTCCTTTTAGCTCTCTTCCCCTACACCCCTTCCCCTCCCTCACTCCCTCCCTCCCACTCCTCCATGTATGTGGTCAGTATCGTACAGGTCTGGCCTAATGCCTCCCCCCTTGTTTCTAGATTAAAAATAACCTGCTGAGAAACCTCTCTGTCCTCAGGGGGAAAGGGGGACATAGGGACTAGCTGTGAGAACAAGGGGATGTTCCAAATTCACATACACAACACAACAGACACATGCACACACACACACACCAAACAAGCTCATTCTCATGTATTCACAGTGCACACACAAACATGCTTGTCTTGTGCATACACCTACTGCACAACATGCACACCCCTCCAGCCGTGAGCTGTGATTAAAAATGAAATGATTTTGTGTAATCTCCTGAAGCGTCGGCCTAATACCAGCTCTCTAACAGCCAGAACAGTTCTGCTATGATTGAGTAATTCAATACGGACTGAGACCAGAAGAGGAACAATGCAGAAATATCACAGGCAAGCGGAGCTGAAATTATTTATTTTCCTGTGAAAATGTCTCTTCACCCAGCCGTCCCTTAGTAGACTGGCTCTCTCCTGTATTGTGAGCTGCCCATTAGTTATTGATGGGAGGAGGTTTCCTTGCAGTGGTGTGTTTTAAAGCCATGTCCTGTTTGTCCATCCCTAAGGGGTTTCCCTGCAGGGATCTTTCTCAGGGGTCAGGCTGTCTGCAGGTACGACAGTGACCATCCCCGGCCGTGCCCACATCGTCTCCCCACTACCAGGCTTCCTCTGATCTATGATTACACCTCTTCAGAGCACCGTACACAAATACTACATTTTCTCTTTATCTCTTCAATTCCTTCCTTCCTTCCTTCTCTCTCTCACCCCACCCTGCCTTTGTCTCAAAAGGGAATTACTTGTATCTGTCTTGGTACACTACTCTCTGGCACAGTCTGCTTTTGTAAAGATAAAATGAAAGGTTTCTATCACTTGTGTGATTTCTGGGTGAGCTGTCTTTAGAACAGAGCAGCGCCATGCCATCAATAATTCCGATTTGATAAGAATCCTGCAGGTTTGACAGATTGTCGTTACACTAAGGCTCATTTGATACATGCGCCCGGCTTTAACAGTCACCCCTCCCTGTCTCTGACAAGCTAAACCCTCTCTCTCTCTCTCTCTCTCTCTCTCTCTCTCTCTCTTGCGTTCTCCATCTCCATTGACAGTCCCTGAGAGCCCTGACATCTCCCTCCCTCTCTCTCTCTCTCTCTCTCCTCTCTCTCTCTCTCTCTCTCTCTCTCTCTCCTCTCTCTCTCTCTCTCTTGCGTTCTCCATCTCCATTGACAGTCCCCTGAAGAGCCCCTGACATCTCCCTCCTCCCCTTCTCCTCTCTCTCTCCCCCTCTCTCGTGGTCATGGCCTCTCTCCTCCTCTCTCTCCTTCGTCTTCTCAAACACACTCTTCTCCCATCCTTCCCTGGGACTAGCAGGCTGCAGAGGGCTGATAACCACAGTCCAACACCCGATAAGACATCAACCCTCTGGAGGCCAAGGAAGGGTGGGTGGGGTAGAGGCTGAGGGGTGAGGTGGGTGAGGAGGTGAGGGGTGAGGGTGAGGAGAGAAGGGTATGGGAGAGATGAAATGGGTGAGGAGGATTAGGGGTGATTTGGTGAGGAGGATGAAGGGTGAAGGGGGAGAAGGATGAGGGGTGAAGGGTTGTGTAGGGGGCGGCAGGGTCGCTCTCAGCTTTAGACAGGAGTGGAAAAAGTGTAACTCCATCTTAGGGAATGGAGGAATGGGAAGGTATGGTGGTGAGGTGGAAATGGAGGGTTGGAGAAAACACCATCTCACCTGGTGTTTCCCCAGTCTGTGTTCTGTCTCAAGTTCACAGGAAAACAATTTATACACCGTCTTCATGGTGGTAACTGGTGTGCCACTTTAAAATTGAGTCACGGAAACACCCACACACACACTGTGCCATTCCTCACCTGCTGATGTCCTATGATGATCATTTATAAGGAGCAGCGGAAACACAGCGGTCACCCCCTCCAGGCACAGCCCAGTACGTCAGCCGTGTGTATGAGGTGTGTGTGTAATCAGTGTTAATCACTGCTCTATCATTATGTTTTATGAGACAGGATGTCTGAGGGTTTCTATATATGCATGTACAGACATGTACCGCTATATGATACAGTACAGCCCATCCAACAGTAAATGGAGGATATCATTGAGACGGGGGGCTGACTGAACACACAGACACACACATGCACAGACACACACACAAACACACACCACACTCTTAGAAAAAAGGGTTCCAAAAGGGTTATTCAGCTGTCCCCATAGGATAACCCTTTTTGGTTCCAGGTAGAATCCCTCTGTGGAAAGGGTTTTACATGGAACCCAAAAGGGTTCTACCTGGAACCAAAAAGGGTTCTTCAAAGGGTTCTCCTATGGGGACAACCAAAGAAACCTTTAATGTTCAAGATAGCACTGTTTTTTCTAAGAGTGCAGGGTTGGGCTCAATTCAGAATTTTGGAATTGACTCCCATTCAACTCATGAGTTGAAATTGAATCGGCCACACCCCACAGGATATATAGAATTTGAGTTTGAGTGACAGGAAGTAGAATTCAAATAAATTCCACTCAGTCATAGAACATGAGAGTTTAATTGAATCTGACAGTTCACACTTCCAGATACCAAAGAATATATCACTTTTCTCTAGAAACAATTCTTATATACTCTTTCAACCTTAGTGCTTAGAATAGCCAATTACAGTATATTTCCACCAACCATTTCATTTGTTTGGCTTCTTTTTGAAGGCTTTTGGGTCAACTTGAGGGTTAAACTAATGCATTCTGGGTAATGTAGTATTTCCACCCCATATTGAACAAAATGTAAGTGATTAATTCAATATAATAACTTAGAATATTCACATACAAGTTTTGTTTTTTCCTTTATCATTAATTTTAACAGTTTGTCAGGAATCAATTGTTTCAACAATATTTTTTATGCATGTATATAACGACATGTTTGTCACGATCGTTATGTGAAGCGGACCAAGGCGCAGCATGATAGGCGTACATACTTTATTAAGTGTACACACACGAACAAAAACAACAAAACGATACGTGAAGTCCTAGGTAATACAACAAACCATACGGAACAAGATCCCACAATAAACTGGTGAAAACAGGCTGCCTAAGTATGGTCCCCAATCAGAGACAACGAGCTACAGCTGTCTCTGATTGGGAACCACCCTGGCCAACATAGAAATAAACGATCTAGAACAAAACCCATAGAAAACTAAACATAACAAGTCCACACCCTGGCTCAACATTTAAGAGTCCCCAGAGCCAGGGCGTGACAATGTTTGATGTTTTATGTACAAGATGTATATTTGTGTAGACTACACCTAATATTGAATAGAAGAGACCTTTGAATTTCATTTCATTACATTTCACTGAATTCAATTTTATTTCCTTTCTTTCAAATTTGAATTGCAATTCTGTATCCTGTTTAATACTTCAATTCAAATTAAATTCCAATTCAAGAAATTAATGGAATTTATGAGGCATTCTCAATTAAATTCTGACACACACACACACACACACACACACACACACACACACACACACACACACACACACACACACACACACACACACACACACACACACACACACACAGCCTGCTGGTTTTTGTAGACCAAAGACTGATCCCTGTAAGCTGGAGCCGTCCCTCATCCTGACATTCCACCACCCTAAAGAGCAGTAAAGACTCCTGACCTTCCACCACCCTAAAGAGCAGTAAAGACTCCTGACCTTCCACCACCCTAAATAGCAGTAAAGACTCCTGACCTTCCACCACCCTAAAGAGCAGTAAAGACTCCTGACCTTCCTCCACCCTAAAGAGCAGTAAAGACTCCTGACCTTCCACCACCCTAAAGAGCAGTAAAGACTCCTGACCTTCCACCACCCTAAAGAGCAGTAAAGACTCCTGACCTTCCACCACCCTAAAGAGCAGTAAAGACTCCTGACCTTCCTCCACCCTAAAGCGCAGTAAAGACTCCTGACCTTCCTCCACCCTAAAGAGCAGTAAAGACTCCTGACCTTCCACCACCCTAAAGCGCAGTAAAGACTCCTGACCTTCCTCCACCCTAAAGAGCAGTAAAGACTCCTGACCTTCCTCCACCCTAAAGAGCAGTAAAGGCTCTGTTCCGTAGACTCCAACTCCAGCCACTCCACACAGCAGGTGAATAAACCCAAATGTCTCCGGTCTTTAAATACGTGACCTTGAATATGATAGCTGCTGCAAGGCCCTAACCGATTCTGAGTTGGAACACAAACCCTCTCTTTAATTACAGACCGACTTCTTCACTTTCCTCTCTACCTCTCCGCTACTTGCCCTTCCACTCTCTCGCTTTTCCTCTCTCTCTCTCTCTCTCTCTGGCTGCTCTGGAGTGTCATAGGGAAATTATAGGCCTGTGAGCCTTCACTCTGCATCGGCTACAATTAGACCCTTGCTTTAATTAAGGAAACCTAGAGTGCCAATTACCCCCTACACGCCTAGAGAGAGATGGAGAGAGGAGAGACAGAGAAGAGAGAGAAGGGAAGAGGGGAGAGAAGGGAAGAGGGGAGAGAAGGGAAGAGATAAAGTGGGAGGGTGGCTGAGAAGGAGAGAACAGAGTAGGATGGGAGAACATGCTGAGAGGAGAGCGGGAAAGAGAAAGACAGGGGTGGGGAGAAGAGTGCGGGAGTGTTGGACAGGGCTGACCTGGGTTAAGGATTTATGCGAGTGCTGGGAGGGAGAGACAGACAGAAACAGATGAAGGGAGAGAAGGAGATGAAAAAAGACTAGTGGAGCTTATCAGGGCATTTGGCCACTAAGACACCGCCTTGCAGTCTTCGTGTTTGTGTTTGTGTGTCTGCACGCACAAGAGTGTGCGTCATATATCACAATACAGATGTAAGATCTTAATTTGATCACTCTTTTGTTGCTGAGAAATATCCTGCACAGCAGGAAATGGAAACTTGCAGTGTATTTGAGTTTTTAAAAGGCTTTTAAAGTTTGTAATTTCCACTTAGAAATGTCAGACTTGATTTGCCCTAACGTGTATCAACCCCTACAAAAATGTCCATTCATTATAACCCACATAGTAATTCACATTTCCTGTTGCTGCAGGATTATTTTTCTGCTGTAGCAAAATGGCTCAAATTAAGATCCTACATCTGTAGTGTATGTTCAAAACCTGATGTGTGTCTGTTTGAGCCTGTGAGATTAGGTCTCCCCCTCTACTCTAATCCCACTCCCCTCCTCCCTGTTTCCTGCTTCCCTGGTCTGGAGGGAGCTGAGGAGTGATGGACTGGCCACTGACATCCTCACACTGCATTCAGCATACCTACTGGAGCGAGAGGCCCTCTGAGAAAACATTACACTTCACTCTCTAATCTTATAATAAGGGCCACGTATGATAGCGCATGGACCTGTGTGAGTATTTACATGTAGAGAGAGAGAGAGAGAGAGTGAGAGAGATAGAGAGAGAGAGAGAGAGAGAGAGAGAGAGAGAGAGAGAGAGAGAGAGAGAGAGAGAGAGAGAGAGAGAGAGAGAGAGACAAAGACAAAGACAAATGTTTTACTCCTTTACTCCTAGTCATCTATTCCTCTTCAGGGAAGCATGTCAAACAGCTCGGTGGTACTACTGTCCTTGTTCTCTCCTCTCCCAGGACACAACCTGACCCAGTTACTGTAGGGAGCAGACTACTGGCTACTGGCTACTGGACAGGGTCCGTTTCTGTGTGGGTGTGCAGCCAGAGTTGAATAACACAGCTGTGAACCAAAATGGCTGACCTTAGCAGTGGGGATTTAGTGTATTAAACCTACCCTCCATGTCTGGCATTCATTTGGGCTCAGAAATGTGCAAGTTACAATTGATTCAATGCCTGGAATTCTGGGTAACGTTCTAATATGGTGGCTGAAATGTCTGTGCCACAGCAGAACATATTGAAGTAGAAACTGCAGCATTTCCACACAGCAGACAAAA